CCCCAAAACCCCAAAACCCCAAAACCCCTCTAGATGAGAATAAGATAGATAAAACTGTAATTAGATTTTAAGTTAAAAAATTATTATAAATGGGTGGATCTAACTCTAAGAAAGAATTTACGAAGGGACAAATTCTGATCAAACTTGATTCAAACCACGTCATCACTGGACAACCAATTACAGGCCAAATTACTTACCGTTTAGACGAGGAATACCCAACAGATAGTCTAACTCTAGAATTAATAGGCAAGGAAAAGTTTGTATCCAATACTTCAATAAAAGCAAATGAGCCGGGTACTTAGAACATGGTGACCACAAAGTCAACTAAGAAAATTCTAGTTCAACAAACAAAGCTCATCTAGAAATTTGATGACAAGCTAAAGGCTAAGGGAACCAAAACTTTCAACTTCTCATTTTAGTTTTCCCCTGATCTACCTTCCAGTATTTATTTTGTGGGAGATAAAAATTTGAAGATGTATGTCCAGTATAAGTTGTTTGCTAGAATGGAAGATGCATCCGGCTAAAAGCAAAAGTATAATCCACTGATTTGCAAAAGACTTGTTATTATTTCCTAATAACCTGAAGAAGTTAAGTTTGACTAATCTCATATGAGTCAGTACCAATTAAAGCATCTATTCCTCATCAATGCTGGAGTTTCAAAGGCTTTAGCTTATGTTGAAAAAGATGCATTTACTCCTAAAGACACAATAAAATTGAGACTTGAGCTAGACAACTCACAATGTGATTAGGAACTTAGAAAAGCTAAAGTCAGATTTTATAGAGAGATTACTGCATCAACAAGAACAAGTACTCCATTCCTGGTCAAGGATGTAATTCTTAAAAGAAGAGTAATTGGAGTGCCTCCTAAAACATCTTAACCTAGGGATATAGATTTACCTCTGGCTTAGATAAATTACAACTCTGATAAATACTTTAAACAAGCTGTTGAAAAGAAAAAGTTTTTATATGGCCAGTACGGTGAGTGGATCTATCAGCTCTAGCCCTCTGTTAAAACTTTGTAATTCGAGTGCAAATATTACATAGAGGTTTCGTTCAAGCATAATGGACTTAACTTTGGAAAGTCAATACCTCCTATTAAGATTCCCATACAAATATTTAATTCAAATAATGTAGTAGGTGTCTTTAATAACAATAATAACATTCAAAGATTTGACAGTGTTAGAAATATTCAAGGTAATTTTAATCATCAAGCATCAATGACTCTACCAAGATAATAATCATTTGGGCAAGATAACTAATATATTGGCTAAAATAACATTGCAATGGTGCAGTAATAGCAGTAGCTTTTCAACTAAATACAGTAATAGAATTAAATGAGATTTTCTTAAAGCATGCATGCTGGAGGCTTTAATGCTAATGGCTTTGGAGATAATAGTAATGCTTTTGGACAGATTAACAATCAAAATAATGGCTTTGGGTAAAATCAGCTAATTTAAGGACAAGTCGTTGTTTTACCACCTGATGAAAGTTAGAATAATTAGATGGCTTATGGCCACCCAGTATTTTTAGAAAATGAACATAACTAATATGCAAATCCATAAGATGAATAGATTCCAACTTCTTTCAAGCAACCAAAGCAATCCAAATGAAAGTATCACAATATTAATTCTTTAGATTTATTATATATTCACAGTTCATTTAAATACCAGCAAATGGGGTTTTGGGGTTTTGGGGTTTTGGGG